GGAGTGCCATAAATCAGCCGGACCAACTCCCATGGTGACGCCCTCAGCCCGCTTTCTGGGGGTCATGGGTATCTGCACATTTCTACCCTGTCCCCAAGCACCAAACAATAAATAAACAGATGCAAACGTCACCTCGCAGATCTTTGGCAAAGACCCCTGGAATTGCAAAGCTTGGTCCCAAGTGCACATTTGCTTCAGAAGATTCTGATGCAATAGAGAAAAGTCAGGAAAAGATAAGGGGACCCACCTCTCATGGGGCTCCCCTGTCTCGCAAGGCTGGAGGGAGGCGCCAGGATGCCAGGAGGCAGGGGTGCTCCCAAGGCCCACAGGCCAGGGCTCAAGTCCAAAATTACTCATTGGCTGTGGTGAGGGGCTGGCAGAACTTAGCCCCAGCCACCCGCCCTGCCTCGGCCCCCTGGGTGACTGTGCGATGACCAGGGGTCCCTCTGGGGATGCAGCAGCTGCTGAGCCCTCACTAGAGGGGAGTCGAGGGTCAAGGTGGATATACAGGCAGCTCTGCATTGGGGACCAGGCGGCTCTGAGTGGCTCTTAACTTCCTCCTAAAGAATTTCAAAATTGAGAGGAGCAGAGCCTGGGAAAAGAATGGCTGTCAGATGTTTCATGAAGAGCCTCCGAGACGTCAGGCTCCAGGTGAGCTCTGTCCAAGTGATTCCTTCTGCTTTGGAGCATCCTTCGGACAGGAAGGGGGCACCCCCGTGTGCCCACTCCCCTGGGGACTGAGGAAGAGTCCCCCTCTGGGCACCACCTCCATCACCCGGCAACTAGTTAAGAAAAAGAAAAAACATCTCAGTGTTTGTCGTATCTATAAATGAAAACCTGTTGGAGATTTAAAAAACAAACAGACCCACCTCCTTTTAGATCCCATTCCATGTGAAGTGTAGGACAAATAAATCCAGCAGTATTTCCAAAGACTGAGGCCGACTAGAAGGAGGTTTTATTTACGGACTGGAAGGCCCATTGAACACTGGGGTCTCGGGGCCAGGTTTCTGGGCTTCCCCAGTGGCTCAGCGGTAAAAGAATCCACCTGCAATGCAGGAGACATGGGTTCGATCCCTGGGTCAGGAAGGTCCCCTGGAGGAAGAAATGGCAACTCACTGTAGTATTCTTGCCAGGAAAACCCCAGACAGGAGAGCCTGGCGGGCTACAGTCCACGGGGTCACAGTCAGACATGACTGAAGCAGCTGAGTGTGCACGCACACCAGGTTTCTGGACACAGTGTCAATATGTGTCAGAAGCACTGACGTTGTTCCTGATTCTCCCCTGAGTCACTCCATCCAGTCCATCACGGTCAAAAAAGAAAACAAATATAATCATCTCAATAGATGCTGAAGGTGCATCTGGGAAAATGTTATGCATTTCTGATATTAAAATCTCTTTTTCTGGTATTTCAAGTCTCCAGAAGCTACAATAAGATTCGTCCTCACCCTCACCAAGCGTACCTATTCCAGAAGCTATTATGGCCGTCACTGCCTTACCATGAAAGTCAAGAGCATCCTCAGCAGCATTCTGTATGGCAACACTGCCTGGCACATGGACACGAACCTGTGAAACAGGAAAAAGAAATAGAGACAGGATGATTGGAAAGCAGAACAGCAATAGTGTTGTTATTCCAAGAAGACACAATTATCTGCCTGGGACCTTGCCCCACCCCTCTGCCCCCAGCAACAAAAAAAGAAACCGATTCAGAACCGTTAGAACCAAACAAACATTTAGAATGGAGGCCAGTTACTAAGTGAAGATGTTAAGAATGTCCTCATACACACTAGAGATAAATAATCAGATTATATCATGAAACCAAAAGATTCCATTCAGAGAAACAAAAACTAGAGAATACCGCTTATATCCTTCTTGAGGAAAGTGAAGGACTTTTTTGAACAAGAGCTGAGAAATTTTTGTGTGTGCCTTCCTGGTAAGAACCACGACTGTGCTGCGTCTGATTATTGCAGTTTTTTAACTCTTGGTACTTAACATGGGCTTCGCTGGTGGCTGGGTTCAGTGGTAAAGAATCTGCCTGCAATGTAGGAGATTCTGGAGACATACGTTCCCTGGCCTGAGAAGGTCCTCTGGAGGAGGAAATGACAACCCACTCCAGCATCCTTGCCTGGAGAATCCCGTGGAGAGAGGAGCCTGGCGGGCTACTGTCCGTGGGGTTTCAGAGGGTTGAATGCAACTGAGCACAGCGTGCCACCCGTTTTAACACACACGCGTGGGTTTTTCTCTCCACGCCCATCCTGATGGATCAGTGGCTCTGTGCTAGTCTTGATAAGGCACATCTCTTAGCTGGGGAATCCAACACAAAATTTTTTTGAATGAGAAGCTCCGCTTACTGTGAGGCTGTTTGAAAACACATACGATCGTGAAGGTGCCTTTTCTTTCCCAATATAATTAATATTTTTAATGTAATCTTTAATTCAAGAAAGTTGTTGTCAGGGAAACACAGAAGATGAAGACAGCAGACACAGCCAAGAGATTTTTGACGAAGAAGAGTGTGGAGGATGGGCTGGTGTGGCCCGGGCTGGGGTCTCCGAGCGAGCCCTGGGCTGGAATCACAGGAGGGGTTGAAGACCAGAAGGAAACGGCATGAAGCAGAGCCGTAGGGAAAGCTCAGAGGCAGCCCAGTATCTGTGGTCCCCCGGCGCAGGCAGAGGGGCCGCTATTCAGAGTGTGATTCCAGAAAGGCTGGGCTTGCCAGGTCTCTGTAGGAACAGCCACGGGGTTGTGCAGAGCCAGATTCTCTGCCAGTGAGCACGGCCCCCAGCTCTAGGCGGGCACGCTCCCCAGCTTCACCCCACCTCCTACACAAGCCGGCAGCTCAGCAGTGAAGGCCTGGGCGTCTGCAGGACGCAGGCCCCATGGCTGGCCTTTATCGGGCTCCGTCTGGAACCCCTGCACCAGCCCACTCGTGTGTTCGGAGTTGCAGTTACACAGTGACAGTGAGGGGGGTCTGTGCTTTCAGCTGCAGAGCCCACGTACCCACCCCTGGAGGAGCCACTTTTCTTCTGCACGCTTCATTAAATGTTAGTGCTGGAGGCCGCAGCGAGCATTTGCTGATGACACATACCCAGGGAGGGCGTGTCAGCGTCTGGAAGGACTGGGACAGCCAGGATAAGCCTGAGGCCATGACTGTGAAGAGACTCCTAACTGTGTAATACCAGGGGCGCTAGGTGCGCTGCAGGGAAGGCGGGAGGGCGTCGCTGTTGTGGGCGCACCTGCATGGATGTGTGCCCGCTGGGACTGTGTCTTGCTGGGGGTCGAGCATCTTAGGGAGGCGCAGGGCTGGTGTGCCCATGATGACGTCGACCAGCAGGCTCCTCTGGGATGAGGTGAGGTTGTGGGGGTGGGGGGGAGGTAAGAAATGGATGCCCTGTCGATGGGGTGACTGCCCCTGCCCATTGCCCGGGGTCAGCCTGATTCAGCCCTGGTCAGTGACAGTGCCCGTCACTCTCAGGAGTGTCTCAGTTTAGGTGATGTGCCCTGTGGTCATCCTGTCAATGAGTGCATGTGCACACACATGTGAAAACACACGTGTGCACAAACATGTGCATACATGTGTGCACACATATGCACACAAACACACAAATGTACATGCACACACAAATGTGCACACACATACAAACACACACAAATGGGCACAGACACAAATTCGCACAGACACAAATGCCCACACAAATGTACATGCACACATGTGCATGCACACACATGCACGTACAAACACACACAAATGTGCACACACATAACAAACACACACAAATGTAGGTGCACACATGTGCACGCACACACATGCATGTACAAACACAAATGTGCATGCACACACACACACAAATGGGCACAGACACAAATTTGCACATACACACAAACACACACATGCACAAACATGCACACACATGCACACGCACAGCCTCCTTCCAGGGCCGACGACCTGTTCTCTGGTGCTTGCCGCTCCCGGTGATGTTTGCTAGAATCGCTCCTCACTTTCTACAACACTCTGTCCTCTTTCTGCCCTGCTCCCCCTCCCCATCCCTACCTGCCCAGAAGCATGTGCCGAAATTCCACCCCTCCCGCCCCCCAATCCTAGTGTGCTGCCCACCCTGTAACAGCAGGGACCTGGCGCCAAGTCCGGTGTTAGCAAGACCCCATCCAGAGTCATGCCCCAGGCCCCGGGCTGTGCTCACCACAGCCACACTGACCGAGTCCCTGGTCAGGCTGCCCTGGTGGGAAGCCTGCTGAACACGTGGAGGGAGGGCTGGGCTGGGGGTCAGGAAGGGCTCCCTCAGGCCAGCAGCCCTGGACCAGGCACCCAGGGAGAGGGCACTCCACTCCCATGAGGGGGAGCAGAGATCCGTCACCTCCTTTCACAGGGCTCTTGTTTGCTCAAGACAGCGCAGGTCTCCACGTGGAAGGTCAAGGTGGGCTGAGGGGCAGCGACCCGGTGGGGAGTGACTGGAGGCCCGGAGGGAGCGAAGCCCCTAGGCAGAGTGTGTGCCCTGTGGGCAGAGAAGGACCTCAGCAGAGTCGGGGCAGCCGGTGCCTTAGGGCAGGGGCAGCCATGGGGCACTGTGACCACTTGTTACCACTGTTGAGTGGGCGGCGGGCCCTCGCCCTCCAGCCAGTGAGCCCGGAGCATGCCCATCCCCCAGTGGGGGCCGAGGGTCCAGAGGGCAGTCAGCACCCCTGCCTCTCTGCTCCTCCCTCACCCATCCATGCTCTCACTCGCTGGTGCCCACAGCCCACCTCTGTCACAAGGAGGATTCCCGGGATCCTACCTGGGCTGGGCTGGGAGGCGTGCCCCCCTGGCGCGGGCTGCTGCCCAGAGCTGGGCTGGGAGGCGTGCCCCCCTGGCGCGGGCTGCTGCCCAGAGCTGGGCTGGGAGGCGTGCCCCCCTGGCGTGGGCTGTTGCCCAGAGCTGGGCTGGGAGGCGAGCCCCCCTGGCGCGGGCTGTTGCCCAGAGCTGGGCTGGGAGGCATGCCCCCCGGCACGGGATGCTGCCCAGAGCTGGGCTGGGCTCGCCTCCCTGGCCGCGGGCTCCAGTCCCCCTCCACTCAGCTGCGTGCAGCAAGTGTCTCCTGTGCATCACCTGTGCCTGCCATCTGTGCAGACCCGGTGGGATCCTGCGTCTGCATGTGCTCGTGTCAGGGTGCTTTCTGGTGGCTGCTCGGCCCTCGGTGGGGACGCTGGGCATCACAGGGCTGGGGGGAACAGTGCCCACACGAGCGGAGCTGGGCTTCCCGTCCACGTGCACTGCCGGCCCCACTGCAACCCGTGAATCAGGTATCCTCTGTCTGTGTCTCATACACACATGTGTGTGTGCACACACACATGCTGATGTACACATACACACGCTGACACACAACACACACACAGGCTGACACACACTGACACATACTGACACACATATGCTGACACACACACGTGCACACGTGTGCTGACATACGCTGACATACACACACTCATACACACACAGGCACACACTCAGACATACTCTCATAAACACACGCTGACACACACACACACACATGCTGACACACACGCTGACACACACATGTGCACTGACATACACACGCTCATACACATACACACACAGGCACACACTCAGACACACACACTCTCACACACACACATGCACACACACACACGCTGACATACACACACTGACACACACTCATACACATACACATGCGCTACAGACACACACACACTTACATATACACATACACAGACACTGTCAAACACGTACACACACAGACACATGCTTTCACAGGCACACACACACTCTCATACATTTACACACACATACATGCTCAGACACACTCACCACACACAGTCACACACTCTCATACACACACACACATGCTCACACAGACACACTTTCTCATACACACTCACATGCACACATACATGCACACTCTGATACACACAGAGAGACATGCTAACACAGACACACGCACTCACACATACACAGGCAAACAGTCACGCAGACACACACAGAGACACAGACACACAAACTCTTTCATACACACAAAAAGACACACACACGCTCACACAGACACACTCTCACACACACACTCTTTCATACACACAAACAGAGACATACACATACACTCTCTCTCACACACACACTCTTTCATACACACAGAGACACACATACACTCTCTCTCACACACACACAGAGTCTCTCATACACACACACACATGCTCACACAGACACACACACTCTTTCATACACATAGAGACACACACATACACTCTCCCTCACACACACACACTCTCATACACACACACACACTCTCTCTCTCTCGCGCACACACAGACTCACACCGCCTTGTTCACGATCACACAGTGAGGATTTAGGTTCAGGCCCCTCTGACCTTGACCCCAGTCCACACCAACCCCCTCCCCTCTTCCTCCGAGGGCTGTCTCCTGCCTCTCCCAGCAGCAGGCGGGTCCCACGCGCCCAGGGCGCCGAGCGGGACACGCCCCCGCTCCGTGCCCTCCTGGGAGCCTGGGGCCCCTTGGCACCAGTGCCGCCGTCCACCTGCACTGACTGACCTTCTCCGAGCTGCCGGGACCTGAAACCAGATAATGGCTGGAAAACACATCAGGACGTTTTTCCACTTGTGTGCCGTGGCCCAAACAGAAACGCAGAAGCCCCAAGGCCCTCCCTGTGCCAGGGTGCCCGGCCTCAGAAAACAGACAGTGCTCAGAAGCATGTGCAAATTTCATTTGGCTGAATGTTGACTCATGTTATTATGATTTCAGAGCTTCTTAGGCCGACTCTGATTGGCCTTGGGGGCGGCAGCCCCCAGGACCCCAGCTCGGCTCCCTCCCTGCTCCAGTCCCATGGCCAGGGAGTTAATGACCTGTAAAAGCACTTAAGTTCATGATGAGAACTCCTTGGGAGGAGCAAATTTGTTTGTAGCTCACGCATTCACTTTGTTTTGTGTGAGGGAGCTTTCGGGAAGCGAGTCTGCTTGAATCGCTGAGAAGTGATAACTCAGTTTTAAGAGTTCTCCAAGGACAGAGCTTCTCTTAGCAATTAGAATATGCTTCCTGAGGAGCCCTTCAGAAACTGGGGCACTGGGGACAGTCCCAACTGCCGAGAGCCAGAGCAGGTGACAGCTGGGGAGACAGGTAGACCGGTCCAGGTGTGCGCCCAGGGAGATGTGTGTCCAGGGGCCTTGGGATTTAATAGCAGAGCTTCTCGTGATGGGCCAAGGGCATCGTCCAGTGTGGTCCAAGTCTCAGAACCTGAGACGGTTGCAGCTGCCCCCCAAGTGCAGGAGTCTGCCCGTCCTCAGACCCCGAGCCCAAGGGTGTTCAGACAGGGCTGGACAGCGTGGCCCCTAGGGACTCAGCCCAGGGGGCTTCTGGGGCAAGATGGATGTAAACATCTCTTTGATGATTCTTTCTTTCCAGCATCTGTTTTTCTGCTAATTCAAGAGACCTAGGGTTCCTGGGGCTCCATTTTCTGCCTGTGATGCCTGCTGTCCCTTGGAGGAGAGCGTGGCATTGCTGAGAATCCTGTTTTACTGTGAGGATGGAGCTGGGGGCTGCTTCCTTGACCCCTGAAGTCGCCCTGTGCCTGTCCGTCCTCGCCAAGAAGCGGGGGAGCCGTGAGCACAGGCAGGGGAGCACGGACGGTGACCACGTCCTTCTTCAGTTCTCTGCGGGTCTAAATCTGCCTCCCGCTCCCTCCGGCAGTGGCTCATCTCTGAGGGGCCGGGCTGGCTCTCCTGAGTTAAATAGGAGAAATGGGGGGGGGAAGCCAGGAGCCAAGGGGCAGGATGGAGACAGGGCAGAATGAGGCTGGCCCTTCCTTACTACACACCCGCCTTCTGCTCCAGCAGAAAGAAAAGGCAGGGGTTTTGAGGGCAGAGCGGGGAAGCGTTCAGCACTGGAGCAGAAGAGTTTTCTAGAGGCCTGGCCAAGGAGGAGCTCTGATGCAAGAGGGGAGAGGGGCAGCGGCACCCCAGCTCCTGGGGCCTCCAGAGGGGCACCAGGGCGGAGGGCGCCGGATCTCGGGAGTGGATGGCTGAGGGCTGCGTGTGGCTGGTCTCCCAGCTGTGAGGTGGACGGAACCGGCTTTTCTCTGATTGTGCATCTGCGAAGCATCAGGAAGCGATGGCCGATAAGGGCCGCTCCGCGAAGCCAGGGCCGTGGGCGGCACGTCTGGCTTCAGTCCATCTGGATCCACAGCGTCAACTGCTCCTGGCCTCCCCCACCCCAGTGTTTATCTGGGTTCCTTCTAGCCTCTTGCTTCCCTTCAGGAATCTGCTGGTTAAACCAGCCTCCTCCTCAAGAACGGTGTATGTGTGTGTGCTCTCAGCGCTGAGCATCTTCCGGGAAAATTGAGGATTCTGCAGCTCTAACCAGGCCTTCAAACAGGTTTATCAAATGCTACCTGTGCCCCCGGGGCTTTCCTGCTGGCTCCGTGGTGAAGAATCCACCTGCCAAAGCAGGAGACGGAGATTTAATCCCTGGGTCAGGAAGATCCCCTGGAGAAGGGAACGGCAACCCGCTCCAGTATTCCTTGCCTGGAGATTTCCATGGACAGAGGAGCCTGGAGGGCTGCAGTCCACAGGATCACAAAGAGTTGAACACAACTGCGGGACTGAACAGTGACAACAAGCTGTGCCCCCACGGGGACAGGCGAGGGAGCTCTCACATCTCCCTTGAGATTCTCAAAAATCAGCAGACCCCCAGGGCCATGGAGACCTCAAGCTAGGTGCCCACATCCTCCTGGGAGATGTGAGGTCCAGCCTGGGGACAAGCCGTGAGCAAGGTCATCAGATGGTCAGTGGCGAAGGGGAGGTGGGAAGGCTTAGCCGATGGAAGCCTCCTCTGCGAAGCTGCCTGACCCGTGAGGGCAGCCCTAGCCTCGAGGCTCTGAAGCTCCTCCTGGAGTGGGCTGCCCCCGCTTTTTACAGATGACAGCTGAGATGGAGGGCTGGAAGTCCGGCAGATGCAGTCGGCACAGTTGGGCCAAGCGGGGCCTCCCCACGGGGCTGGGGTGTCAGTGGGGGAGCTGCTGGGGGCGGGGTGGGGATGTGCTCCCTGCAGCCAGCTCCCAGGGGCCTGCGTTGAGCACTCGGCTTCCCTCGCCACATCCACCTCCCCTGAGCGGGGCGGATAAAGGGGCAGAGGGGCCACGGCGTCATCCACTGAGTTTCTTTCCCCCGTAAGAAAAGACACGGTGGCCTAGGGTACACGTGAAGCTGCACCCCTGAGATGCTTGGGGTGCTTGGGGGCGGCTTCTCATGCCTTCAGTGCTCAGAACCCTCCAGGGTCTCCTTCTTGGAGACCTTTCTCCGTCTCTGTAGGAGACCCTGCGCCATCTCCTTCTCGGACCCCGTGAGGTCTGGTCCCCAGAGGCCCGCCTTGCTCCCTGGCTATCTGCAGGGCTGCAGGTACCCCCCCCGCGTGGTGTCCTCTCATCGCCCCAAAAAGCCCTGACACCCGCCGCCTGGCGTGGCCGGGTCTGTTTCATCTGGGTGAAGTGACAGAAGGTGAAAAGCTGAGTTTACTTTGCACAGTTAACCAAGGGACGAATTCAGGCGGGAGGTTTATTGGTGACTCTCCCCCCGTGGCTGTGTGGCGCCCTCAGGATCCACTGTGTCAGCCCCCAGCCCAGCAGGGACATCAGGGTCTGGGGGCGGTGCTTCCCGGCTGCCCTGTAAATAGGTGCCAGTCAGCAGGTGAAGTTCTGTTTGAAGAACTTGAGGGTGGTGAGAAGACTTCACCGTGGAGCTCTCCGGGAACCCCACAGACCAGGTCGTCAGTGCCCCTGTGGCCCTGGGGAGGCGGAGGGCATGTTACTGAACACTGGAGGATCACTTCCTGAGGAAACCAAGGTGATTTTGCATTTTCTAAGTATGTTTGTGATCTTCACTGTCTGGACTTCAGTTCAGTTCAGTTCGTCACTCAATCGTGTCCGACTCTTTGTGACCCCACGGACTGCAGCACACCAGGCTTCCCTGTCCTTCACCAGTTCCTGGAGCTTGCTCAAACTCATGTCCATCAAGTCGGTGATGCCATCCAACCATCTCATCCTGTGTCGTCACCTTTTCCTCCTGCTTCAATCTTTCCCAGCATCAGGGTCTTTTCCAGTAAGTTGGTTCTTCACATCAGAGGGCCAAAGCATTGGAGCTTTGGCTTCATCATCAGTCCTTCCAATGAATATTCAGGACTGATCTCCTTTAGGATGGACTGGTTGGATCTCCTTGCAGTCCAAGGGACTCTCAAGAGTCTTCTCCAACACCACAGTTAAAGCA